GAGTATCACCAGCACTTCTGCAACATGCTAGTGCCAGTGTATTTATTTTTCATCTAGAAAGTCATTTTTTTTCGTTCTTTTTCTTTCCTTCCATTTCTTTTTCTCGCTGTTCTTTCCTTTCTACTTATGTTCCGAAAGTGGTATTTTTCCCCCCTCTTTTGATGATTCTTTTCCTGCTTTTTTGTTTTAAATCTTTCTGGTTTCTGTTGTTGTTCTTTATTTATTTTTCTCCTCATGTCGCCACACTGTTTCCTTTCCTCTTTTCGCTGTTCTTTTTAATTCCTCCCCCCCTTCTTATTGCTTTTTTCGTTTTATTTCTATTTATTTCTTTTCTGTTCCTGTTCCCATGTGTTTTTTCCCCTCCTCTTTCGGTTCGTCTTCCTACTCCCCCCCCCCCCCCCCCGCTTTATGAAATAAATAAAGAAAATTACCATCGTCACAATGTTAAAAAACCATCGGTGTCCGGTAAAAGCTGGGAGGGGGTTACGATGTCACCGTGATGTCACGATTCACGATGGCATCGTGGGGCGTGCCTGTCACTTCTCTGCAACGACCAAACGTGGCTTTGAAAACTCCACCAGTTTTCAAAGAGGCGTTTCGTTGTTAGCAGATCCTGGCTATCCTAAACCAGCTTACCATATTTTCTTAGCTGTTTTTTTTGGGGGGGGTTTATAGGGGTGGCTTTTTCCCACCCATCTCCCATGCCAGCTGGCACCCTGGCATTGCCCGGCCTGCATCTCCCATCCTAATAGATTTCAGGCCTCCTTGTTTAGAGAGGGGAAAAAAATCTGCTTTGAAAGAGCTTGCCAATGCCAGTGGGAGCTCATCAGCCGGTGGTTACCCAGGGCACCTGTGCCCGATGCTGCCGGCAGATCTTTGAGGACAGGGAGGGGAGGCTCGGTGTGGCTCGGCCCCAAGGGGCCACTCCGGCAGTGTTTTCATGCGCTCCTCCATGCTGGTTGAGGCTCAGGCTGCGGCGGAAGGACAGACGCCCGTTTTCCCAGCATCATGGGCAACGTAAGAGGGGTTGCTGGGGTGGGGGGGTGGCCTTTGGAGCATGGCTATCTGCCACCACAGCTTGGAAATAGAGATAGAAGCCTGCTAGGTGCCCGTGAGCACTGGCTTCTCCCAGGCAGAGAAGAAAAGGAACTAGTCTGTTTGCCCTTGGTGCCCCCAGCAATGTTGGCATCATGTTGCCAATGTTTTGC